GCTTGAATGTTGTGTCCATACTTGCCCCAACTGTTCAGGGTTCGACCTCTGCGGTCGTATCAAACTGCGCCCCAGCGAAGCATTTTATTGAGAACTTGTAAACGGTCAAGATCCCCACCCCGAAACCATATATATTCTTGTATGGGACAATAAATCAAATCAAATGAAATATAGAAGAAGTCCATGGGGGTAACCCCCACCTCCCCTTCTTTTTGATAACTTGTAAACAGTCGAGATCCCCACCCCTAAACCATATATATACTTGAATGGGACAATAAAACAAATCAAATGAAATTGAGGGGAAGTCCCCTGGGGAAACCCCCACCTTCTTTTTTTTTGAAAACTTGTTTACGGTCAAGATTCCCACCCCGAAACCATATATTTTCTTGTATGAAACAATAAAACAAATCAAATGAAATATAAGGCTAGTCCCCTTGGGTCACCCCCACCCCCTTCCTGTTTGAGAACTAGTAAACGGTCAAGATCCTTACCCCTAAACCATATATATTCTTGTATGGGACAATAACACAAATCAAATGAAAATATAGGGGAAGTCCAGGGGGGTCACCCCCACCCCCCTTTTTTTTTGAAAACTTGTAAACAGTCAAGATCCCCTCCTCGAAACCATAAATATTCTTGTATGGGACAATAAAACTAATCAAATGAAGTAAAAGGCGAGTCCCCTGGGGTCACCCCAACCCCCTCCTGTTTGAGTACTTGTAAACGGTCGAGATCCCCACCCTTAAGCCATATATATTCTTGTATGGGACAATAACACAAATCAAATGAAAATATAGGGGAAGTCCATGGGGGTCACCCCCACCCCCTTCTTTTTGAGAACTTGTAAACTGTCAAGATCCCCACCCCGAAACCATATATATTCTTGTATGGGACAATAAATCAAATCAAATGAAATATAGAAGAAGTCCATGGGGGTAACCCCCACCTCCCCTTCTTTTTGATAACTTGTAAACAGTCGAGATCCCCACCCCTAAACCATATATATACTTGAATGGGACAATAAAACAAATCAAATGAAATTGAGGGGAAGTCCCCTGGGGAAACCCCCACCTTCTTTTTTTTGAAAACTTGTTTACGGTCAAGATTCCCACCCCGAAACCATATATTTTCTTGTATGGGACAATAAAACAAATCAAATGAAATATAAGGCTAGTCCCCTTGGGTCACCCCCACCCCCCTCCTGTTTGAGAACTAGTAAACGGTCAAGATCCTTACCCCTAAACCATATATATTCTTGTATGGGACAATAAACCCCCACCTTCTTTTTTTTGAAAACTTGTTTACGGTCAAGATTCCCACCCCGAAACCATATATTTTCTTGTATGGGACAATAAAACAAATCAAATGAAATATAAGGCTAGTCCCCTTGGGTCACCCCCACCCCCCTCCTGTTTGAGAACTAGTAAACGGTCAAGATCCTTACCCCTAAACCATATATATTCTTGTATGGGACAATAACACAAATCAAATGAAAATATAGGGGAAGTCCAGGGGGGTCACCCCCACCCCCCTTTTTTTTTGAAAACTTGTAAACAGTCAAGATTCCCTCCTCGAAACCATAAATATTCTTGTATGGGACAATAAAACTAATCAAATGAAGTAAAAGGCGAGTCCCCTGGGGTCACCCCAACCCCCTCCTGTTTGAGTACTTGTAAACGGTCGAGATCCCCACCCTTAAGCCATATATATTCTTGTATGGGACAATAACACAAATCAAATGAAAATATAGGGGAAGTCCATGGGGGTCACCCCCACCCCCTTCTTTTTAAGAACTTGTAAACGGTCAAGATCCCCACCCCGAAACCATATATATTCTTGTATGGGACAATAAATCAAATCAAATGAAATATAGAAAAAGTCAATGGGGGTAACCCCCACCTCCCCTTCTTTTTGATAACTTGTAAACTGTCGAGATCCCCACCCCTAAACCATATTTATACTTGAATGGGACAATAAAACAAATCAAATGAAATTGAGGGGAAGTCCCCTGGGGAAACCCCCACCCCCTTTTTTTTTTAAAACTTGTTTACGGTCAAGATCCCCACCCCGAAACCATATATTTTCTTGTATGGGACAATAAAACAAATCAATTGAAATATAGAAAAAGTCCATGGGGGTAACCCCCACCTCCCCTTCTTTTTGATAACTTGTAAACGGTCGAGATCCCCACCCCTAAACCATATATATACTTGAATGGGACAATAAAACAAATCAAATGAAATTGAGGGGAAGTCCCCTGGGGAAACCCCCACCCCCTTTTTTTTTGAAAACTTGTTTACGGTCAAGATCCCCACCCCGAAACCATATATTTTCTTGTATGGGACAATAAAACAATCAAATGAAATATAAGACTAGTCCCCTTGGGTCACCCCCACCCCCCTCCTGTTTGAGAACTAGTAAACGGTCAAGATCCTTACCCCAAAACCATATATATTCTTGTATGGGACAATAAAACAAATCAAATGAAATATAGGGGAAGTCCAGGGGGGTCACCCCCACCCCCCTTTTTTTTGAAAACTTGTAAACAGTCAAGATCCCTTCCCCGAAACCATATATATTCTTGTATGGGACAATAAAACAAATCAAATGAAATAAAAGGTGAGTCCCCTGGGGTCACCCCACCCCCTCCTGTTTGAGAATTTGTAAACGGTCGAGATCCCCACCCCTAATCCATATATATTCTTGTATGGGACAATAAAACAAATCAAATGAAATATAGGGAAAGTCCATGGGGGTAACCCCCACCCCCCTTCTTTTTGATAACTTGTAAACGGTCGAGATCGGCACCCCTAAACCATATATATTCTTGAATGGGACAATAAAACAAATCAAATGAAATTGAAGGAAAGTCCCCTGGGGTTACCCCCACCCCCCTTCCTTTTTAAAACTTGTAAATGGTCAAGATTCCCACCCCGAAACCATATATATTCTTGTATGGGACAATAAAACAAATCAAATGAAATATAAGGTGAGTCCCCTTGGGTCACCCCACCCCCCTCCTGTTTAAGAACTTGTAAACGGTTGAGCTTTTCATTATTAATAAGATAATACCACATTGAGGTCCAAAGGGTCCTAAATTAAACTTTTGTTTAATTTCATCAAATATTGAATTCTTTGGTTCTTTGATATACTGATTCTTACAATGTTTGAGTGTTAAATCATATCTAATTTTAGAGAGCTTAGTAATCACTGGTTGTTTATTATTGATTATAATTTGAAAAATTGCATCATATCTTATTTTAGAGAACTATTTATCCAGTTTGAGTTATTTCCATTTGCACCGAAAATATTATGGATAAAATTAACCTGTGTTTCATTTCAACATAAATTAAATATATATATAGGGTTCTTTCAAATGCTGAATCCAAACTCTATTTAAATATTAGATTTTTAGGCCCAGTTTTCAAGTTGGTCCAAATCAGGGTCCAAAATTAAACTTTGTTTGGTTCAACAAAAATTGAATTTATGGGGTTCTTTGAAATGCTGAATCTAACCATGTATTGAGAGATTTTGGATTGTGGGCTCCTTTATCAAATTGGTCCACATTGAGGTCCAAAGGGTCCTAGATTAAAATTTTGTCTGATTTCATCAAAAATTGAATTCTTGGGGTTCTTTGATATGCTGATTCTAATATGTACTTAGATTTTGGATATTGGACCATAATAAGTATTTAAATGTCCAATTTCAAATATATCAGTTCTTTGACTACATTCATTTTGTGTCACAAACCTATGATGTGTCAAATGTTCAATCACAATCCAAATTCAGAGCTGTTTTAAGTTTAAATGTAGTGTCCATACTTGCTCAACTGTTCAGGGTTCAACCTCTGCAGGACAATCCGGTTTGCTGTCTCTCTGACAGCCTCTTGTTACATCTTGCACAGCCAAATGAACACCCTTGCATGGAAGTAATAACCATCAGATGAAAAAAATGCCAGGACCAAAGAGAATTTATTAACCATTCAATGACATAACACTTTAGTGTGTCACAGCTTGTTTTTAAAACTTTTAAAATTATCAAGGTTTTAAAACATTATTAAGGATGTTTGCTACTCTGTTTCAAAATAACAAGCTTTTTAGAAGACTGTTGTAAATTGATAGAATATAAATAACGGAACTGAAAATGAAGAAAAAAATGATGGGTCCGTGTGCTTGTTTTTGAGATATAAGCCATTGAAAATTTGGCGGGAAATGATTCTCTCTAGATTTTTCATACAGTTAACATTGGCAGCTTTTTTCTTTTAAAAACAATGAAAATATTACAAGGATTTTATAAAATTTTCAAATATGGCATTAGAAACTATATGTAATAAGATTATGAAAAGAAAAGTAGGGCTTAGTGGGCAAAAAAAATTAAAGGCAATACATGGATAAAACCAGAGAATTCCGAATATCTGACAAAAATTCAAAAACAGGAGGAGCGAACATCCTTAATATATCAAAAACAAAACATTTTTTTTTTTTCGATGACAAAAAAAACCATCCTGGTCAATCAAGATACACACCATTACATTATTAAGCAGAATATTTAGAAAAAAGCTTGTCATAAAAAACTATCAATGAGCCTACCCAAAATCTTAAGATGACCAGTATTAGTGTAAAAATTTGCCTTTTCTTTCAGGTGAATAAAGACAGAACTGATTTAAGATATTGATATTTCTAATAAACTAAATGGTTAATGTTATAAGCAATTGCACACAGTAGGAAATATTATTCCAATGTTTGTCTCACCTAGATGAATTCACAGAGGCGAAACTTAGGCATGTTGTTTATGTCTGTGTCAACAATTTGCTGAAGTTTGTGATTAGGTCAGTTAAAAGGGGCACCGCTGCTCTACTAATGGTAAGTCAATGATATTTGGTATGCAGTTGTATATCTGTTTCAGCGGAGATTATTTGGCCCTGTTCCTTCAGTCGTGATTAATTGACTGAAAGTTTTGCATAGTTTACATGTTAAAGTATTGCCATTTTAATCTTATAGATTTTCCACCATTAGCTCCAAAAGATCTACAGGCAGGAGCTATAACTGGGAATACTATAGACCTGACATGGACTGCTCCAGAGTACATTGCTAACATAGCTGATTATGTTGTCTTCTATAAAATTAGAATAGAAAATGGAATTCCAAAAGAAGTAAGAATATAGTATTTTAAAGAATGGTAATTTTGAAGTATGGTAAAATACAGATTGATTCCCAGAGATTTACCATACTGTAAATTCAGAAATTATTGCATGCATTTATCATTGCAGTTTTTGAAGAATGGACAAAAATGCGAGATTAATTATTGCGATTTCAGGAAAATCTGCATACAGATATATGTATCAGATATCAGAATGCGAGTTCTTATTATTGCAATAGTCACCAAGTGGCATTATTTGCATTAATAAAAACCTCGCATTAATTTCTGAATTTACAGTACTTAATAATGTCTCCCACAATAAGTGGGGAAACAATTTGTGTCTAGTTCACCCTTATTGTAAACCTCTATAGTTATTTTTCATCAGATTGATTTTGACAGTTTCTTCTATCAACATATTGGCCATATCTACTGATGGAGATGTTTGTCCGTGTAAATTGAATATCTTACAGTTTTCATTGATATAAATCCAAACTTGACAAAACTACTTCATACTATGCATGGATAGCAGTAGTTTTTGTAGGATTAAGCTGTAAGGTTGAATTTGAAACAAGATTGCCTCATCAAAGTTGGACTTGACACTTGGAATTCACATCTTTAATGATTTTGGTGATTTACCTTTTATATTTAGTGGTTGACTCTTTGACCTTTTTCTCTATTTTTATACGTCCGTTTACGGGATGTATTATGGTATACCGTTGACCATCGGTCTGTCCGTCCGTCCGTCGTCACCATGTCAGACATTAACTCAAAAAAGCTTTAACCAATATGCATGAAACTTTGGTGAATTGTTTATATCTATTGACGTGAGCTCCCTTTCGTTTTTTATACGCCCTTTTACGGGACGTATTATGGTATACCGTGGTCCGTCTGTCTGTCCGTCCGTCCGTCCGTCTGTCTGTCGTCAACATGTCGGACATTAACTCAAAAATGCTTTAACCAATTTGCATAAAACTTTGATGAATTGTTTATATCTATTGAGGTGAGCTCCCTTTCGTTTTTTATAGAATTTAGATTTTGCGTTTCTGAGTAATGGGGTTTTATTCATTAAAAAAAGGGGGATTTTCCAGTTTTCGGACAACAAGTCAAGAATGCTTTCACCAACTTGCAAGAAATTGTGGTGAATTGTTTATATCTATTGACATGAGCTCCCTATTGATTTTTATAAATTTTAGATTTTACGTTTCCGAGTTACAGGGTTTTATTCATAAAAAAAGGGGGGATTTTCCAGTTTTCTGACAAAAACTAAAAAATGCTTTCAGCAATTCTTATGAAACTTTGGTGAATTGTTTGTATGTATTGATGTAAGCTCCCTTTAGAATTTTATAAATTTTACATTTTACATTTCTGAGTTATGGTCCGAGGACACAGTTATCGTCCTTCGATTTTCGTTGTCTACAAATATAGTCCCTAGTGTGGACAGTGTATAACTTGCAAATTTTTTTCATACACTTTCCAAATTTATTTCTTTATATTTAATGCATGAAATATTAAGTAAGGGGATGAAATTACATGTTAAAAAAATTTGGGTGCTGAATCTTTATGTTAAGTAGTGATTAGGTCCAGTTTAAAAAGGTCAAAAATTAGTATGTCTGAAGCTGTCAAACTGAATTTTAGACCCCCTTAACATAGAATTGTCAATATTTTGAGTTAGAGCTGGTAGACTTTTCTATAATTTTGATATTATTTGTCCCAATAGTAGTACACTACACTGTAAAAATCTTTTTGAGATAGAGCAGGTGCGATTTTTTATACGACCACAAAAAAATTTTGTGGTCGTATATTGGTATGACGTTGGCGTCGGCGTCGTCGTTGTCGTCCGGCGTCGTCGTCCGAATACACATTGGTTTTCGCACTCTAACTTTAGTTTAAGTGAATGGATCTTTTTGAAATTTGACCATAAGGTTAAATACCACAAAAGGAAGGTTGGGATTGATTTTGGGGGTTATGGTACCAACAGTTAAGGAATTAGGGGCCAAAAAGGGGCCAAAAATAAGCATTTTCTAGTTTCCAGACAATAACTGTGGAACGGTGTATGGATCTCTCTGAAATTATACTACAAGTTTCCATACCACAAAGGGATGGTTAGGATTTGCTTTGGGGGGTTATGGCTCAAACCGTTTAGGAATTAGGGGCAAAAAAGGGGGAAAAACAAGGTTGTCCTGGTTAATGGACAAATACTTTAGTACAAAACATAATTTAAAGCAGTGTAAGGGAGATAAATCAAATACATCATTGAAATTATCTCCCTTACACTGCTTTTAAATTATGTATAAAGTAATGGTTAATGAACAATAAAGATAAATTAAAACAGTGTAAGGGAGGTAATCCAAATACAACGTTTTGGTTACTTCCCTTACACTGCTTTTAAATTATGTTTAAAGAAATGCATATTTATAAAGGAAGACCAGTAAAAATATCTGCAAATGTTGCATCTTTTTTTTTACAAAAAAATCCATATGAAAGATTTGACACTATATTTTTAATTCTATTATAAAATAGATTAAGTTAGCACTATGGTAAATTTAAATGGGTAATTATGGTTGCCAACTCCTTTGGAAATTTGAATTGAGATTTTGACCATATCTTGAGGGAAAGAATTTTTTGGGGGAAAAAAGGGGGGGGGGGGGGATAAAAAGAAATTGTGGGGGTCAATTTTTTCTCATTTCAGATTTCAGAAATTAAAAAGAATTATTCTTCAAATATTATTTTTTTTTCAAATTTCAAATATTGAAAAATTTCAAGAAGTAATCTTTAATTGCACAGTATGGCGCATTAGATTTGTAAAATCTTTGATCACATTTATTTATTTGTTATGCCGAATCTAACAGTGTATTTAGATTTTTAATTTTGGGTCCAGTTTTCAAATTGGTCTACATTAAGGTCCAAAGGGTCCAAAATTAAACTTTGTTTGATTTTAGCAAAAATTGAATATATGAGGTTCTTTGATATGCTGAATCTAAACATGTATTTAGATTTTTGATTTTTGGCCCAGTTTTCAAGTTGGTCCAAATTGGGGTCCAAAATTAAACTTTGTTTGATTTCAACAAAAATTGAATATATGGGGTTCTTTGATATGCTGAATCTAACCATGTATTTAGATTTTTTATTTGTGGACCCCGTTATCAAATTGGTTCATATTGAGGTCAAAAGGGTCCAAAATTAAACTTTGTTTGATTTCATCTAAAATTGAATTATTAGGGTTCTTTGATATTCCAAATCTAACCATGTATTTAGATTTTTAATTTTGGGTCCTGTTTTTTAAATTGGTCTACATTAAGGTCCAAAGGGTCCAAAATTAAACTTAGTTTGATTTTAACAAAAATTGAATTCTTGGGGTTCTTTGATATGTTGAATCTAAACATGTGTTTAGATTTTTGATTATGGGCCCAGTTTTCAAGTTGGTCCAAGATAGGGTCCAGTATTTAAACTTTGTTTGATTTCAACAAAAATTGAATATATGGGGTTCTTTGATATGCTGAATCTAAACATGTATTTAGATTTTTGATTATGGGCCCAGTTTTCAAGTTGGTCCAAATTGGGGTCCAAAATTAAACTTTGTTTGATTTCATCAAAAATTGAATTATTGGGGTTCTTTGATATGCCAAATCTAACCGTGTTTTTAGATTTTTAATTTGGGTCCCGTTTTTTTTAAATTGGTCTTCATTGAGGTCCAAAGGGTCCAAAATTAAACTTAGTTTGATTTTAACAAAAATTGAATTCTTGGGGTTCTTTGATATGCTGAATCTAAACATGTGTTTAGATTTTTGATTATGGGCCCAGTTTTCAAGTTGGACCAAGTTGGGGTCCAAAATTAAACTTTTTTTGATTTCAACAAAAATTGAATATATGGGGTTCTTTGATATGCTGAATCTAACCATGAATTTAGATTTTTTATTTGTGGGCCCCGCTATCAAATTGGTTCATATTGAGGTCAAAAGGGTCCAAAATTAAACTTTGTTTGATTTCATCAAAAATTGAATTATTGGGGTTCTTTGATATTCCAAATCTAACCGTGTTTTTAGATTTTTAATTGTAAGTCCCGTTTTTTAAATTGGTCTACATTAAGGTCCAAAGGGTCCAAAATTAAACATAGTTTGATTTTAGCAAAAATTGAATTCTTGGGGTTCTTTGATAAGCTGAATCTAAACATGTGTTTAGATTTTTGATTATGGGCCAAGTTTTCAAGTTTGTCCAAGTTGGGGTCCAAAATGAAACTTTGTTTTATTTTAACAAAAATTGAATATATGGGGTTCTTTGATATGCTGAATCTAACCATGTATTTTGATTTTGGACATTGGACCATAATAGGTAAATTAAAAAAATTCAAGTTCTTAGACCACATTCTTTCTGTGTCAGAAACCTATGCTGTGTCAAATATTTAATAACAATCCAAATTCAGAGCTGTATCAAGCTTGAATGTTGTGTCCATACTTGCCCCAACTGTTCAGGGTTCGACCTCTGCGGTCGTATCAAGCTGCGCCCCAGCGAAGCATTTTATTTAATTTGACTTTATTGTCTAAAAGAAATGCACTACGAAATAACTGTGTTCTCGGGCCTTATGGGGTTTTATTCATTAAAAAAAGGGTGATTTTCCAGTTTTCGGACAATAACTCAAAACTGCTGTCACCAATTCTCATGAAACTTTGGTGAATTGTTTATGTCTATTGATGTAAGCTCCCTTTTTATTTTCATAAATTTCTAATATGACATTGAGAATTAATTGAACTTTATTTGTTTATAGTCTGACAACAGATTTACTAAGTATTGCACAACAGCAAGAAATCTTTAATTGAATATAAATTCAATTCATATAACCAATTTCAAGTTCTTTGACTACATTTATTCAGAAACCTATAATATGTCAAATATTTAATTACAATCCAAATTCAGACCTGTATCAAGCTTGAATATTGTGTCCATTTTTGCCACAACTTATACATGTGAACCTCCCGACAGGAGTACAATAATCCCGTTTTCAGGGGTCTCCTCCCGACCTCCCGTTGAAGAGAAAAAAATCCCGTGTATGAAATATTTCATGAATGAAAAATTTCAGCCAAACATATCTGGTGTGGTGTAACTGACATTACCTGAAGTTATATTTTACCTGTAAATCAATTAACATGCATAATTGGGCGTATTGCATTTCCGCTAATTTTTCAAAGTTCCAATACTACATTTCCGGAAACTTAAAGTATACGTTTCCAGAAATTGTATTTATTACTTTTCCGGAAATTTACCTGGTCGTAAATTATTAATATTTGAATATATGTTAGATAAATTATTTATTTCATATTTTTATACAAAATAGGTTATGGTCTTATATCTACAGTATACTAGATATAAAAAAATGAAAGTTTCACCTTAGTGAAAGATGATGATGTTGGAATTGTTATATTTTTATGTTTCACCAACTTGAAATGTCTATGATCGTCTATTCAATGAAATAACTAATATTTTCATAGATGGCACAGTTAATTATTCAATACATGGGTGTTAAATGGTAACTACATTCCGCTTGTGTTTGCGCTACTTCCACTTTTATCAAAATGTGGGATCTGCTTATTGATGTGTGCACTTCCCGAAGACTAACTCTCCAGTCCGAGGTAATCATATTGACTTTGAATGTGCAATGCATACTGCTGTTACAAAAAAATCATGCTGCTACAATCAGTTGTTGCAGGTTTCTTTAGGACAAAGTTCAAGGTACTCCTTTAACTGGCCACCCGCTGATTGATACTTCGACACAAACGAAGTTTGTGTAGATAAGATTGAAACAACAGCAGGGGTCCAGATAAGGTACTCCTTACTTATTTTCTCGAAAAAGTAATAATTTATTTTTTCCGGAATCGTTACTATTTTCTCGGAAACGTAGACTTTTTTTTGCGGAAACGTCATCTTTTTTTCCCGGAAAAGTAATGCCAATTTGCGGAAACGTAAAACGCCGGCATAATTATATGGCTTCACTTGTCAGCTTGGGTGTCAAACATACTGGTAATCAAGGATTATTTCCTCAGGCTAACTGCCGTTGTGTAATAAAACCTTTGTGTATTTAAGAATGAATTTTGGGTTACTTCCCTTGATTTATCCTGTTTTAAGTTACTTTCCTTTAAATAATGAAATTTTTAAAAGAATATAAATAAAATATAAATTGAACAAATAATCATAAAAGGATGGTAATTAAATGATTTTAAATGATTTTAAATGTCTTAGGACAAATAAAAAAATAATAATTTGAAAATAATTTGAGGGTTCTATACTTCCTTTTAAGGCTTGAATTGAAATTTCTATAACAACTATGACCCTTTATTCTAATTGACAGTGTTTCTTAACATTCAAAAAAGATCTTTTTGCAGATAGATTAACAAATGAGCTGATAGCAGTGATTATTCTAAAGAATAATGATACAAAAGATATAAAGTAAAGAACATACTAAAAAAAAGAGTGTTAGATTGAACATGTTGAATAAAGATAGAGAAAATATATAAGTACAGTTAGGGTACTATAAACATAATACATTTGGATGGAAAGTTGAAGAAAAAACACTTTTAAAAGACAATTTCTACAGCACACGGTTACATTTACGACAAAATTTATGTCGATTAAAAATCTCCTGATCTGAGTCCTAATCTCCTGACAAAAATTCCCAATCTCCTGATCTGAGTTTCACAGTCCATCACATGTATGCCAACTGTTCAGGGTTGGAAATCTGCGGGCCTATCTAGCTGCGCTCAGCAAAGCAGTTTATTATAAATTTCAGATTTACCGTTTCTATGTTTTGGGGTTTTATTCATTAAAAAAGGGGGGATTTTCCAGTTTTCCGACAATAACTCAAGAATGCTTTCACCAACTTGCAAGAAATTTTGGTGAATTGTTTATATCTATTGACATGAGCTCCCTTTGGATTTTTATAAATTTTAGATTTTACTTTTCTGAGTTACAGGGTTTTATTTATAAAAAAAAAAGGGTGATTTTCCAGTTTTCGGACAATAACTAAAAAATGCTTTCAACAGTTCTCATGAAACTTTGGTGAATTGTTTATATTTGTTGATGTAATCTCCCTTTAGAATTTTATAAATTTTAGATTTTACATTTCTGAGTTATGGGGTTTTATTCATTAAAAAAGGGGGGATTTTCTAGTTTTTGGACAATAACTCAAAAATGCTTTCAGCAGTTCTCATGAAACTTTGGTGAATTATTTATAGCTATTGATGTAATCTCCCTATTGATTTTCATAAATTTCAAATATGACATTGAGAAGAAATTGAACTTTATTTGTTTATAGTCTGACAACAGATTTACTAAGTATTGCGCAACAGCACAGTGTATTGCACAACAGCAAGAAATCTTTAATTGAATGTATATTCAATTCATATACTGTAAATTCAGAAATTATTGCGAGGTTCTTATTAATGCGAAATAATGCGACTGGGTGAGTATCGCAATAATAAGAACTCGCATTCTGATAACTAAAATATAGACCTGTATGCACTTTTTTTCAAAATCGCAATTATAAAACTCGCATTTTTGTCCATTCTTGAAAAATCGCAATAATAAATGCACGCAATAATTTCTGAATTTACAGTAACCAATTTCAAGTTCTTTGACTACATTTATTCAGAAACCTATAATATGTCAAATATTTAATTACAATCCAAATTCAGACCTGTATCAAGCTTGAATATTGTGTCCATTTTTGCCCCAACTGTTCAGGGTTGGACCTCTGCGGGCGTATCCAGCTGCGCTCAGCGAAGCAGTTTATCGTATTATATAACAATTTGGTACTGATGAAAATTTAAATAATGCATTTATAGTGATATTACATTTTTTTTCATTGAATCATTGTAAGTTGCTTAACTAAAAATATAAAACAACTATGGGTAATTTCATTATTCATACCACATAATGAGAATAATGTCATTTTAGTTATTTAGGATGTAGATAGCCAGTCAAAATATTAAGTGTATACTACTAAAAAACTTATCCAGAATTATTCAGATTCTTAAATGGCCAATTTATATATGTTGTTGATATCATAATTGTTTACTAATTACTTTTGAAACTTCTTCTGCTTAACTTCTTAAGTAATGAGATCAAATTTGTCAGATCTATTTATTGAACAGAATTGAAAAAAGTTTGTTATTACATAGCCTCTACAACCAAAATAGAGGCTGTAAAACAATTTATTATTATTTACAGTTCAAAGAACAAACAAAAACAAATAATGCTATTATTATTTACAGTTAACAGTGCCAGTACCATCAACTAAAACCACATTGATATCACTGTCTCTTAGTACTGAATATGAAATATATGTTGCTGGAAGAACAAAGCTAAGTGTTACTGGAGACAAGTCCAATGTTATCACTGTTAAGACAGGTAGGTCAGACATATTTACTTACTATAAAAATAAGGATATGTGGTATGATTGCCAATGAGACAACTATCCACCAAAGTTCAATGAAGTGGATGTACTGGGTAAGCAATTATAGGCAACCATACGGCCTACTACAATGAGAAAAACCCATACTGTATAGTTGGCTATAAAAGGCCCCAACAAGAAAAATATGAAACAAATCAATTGAGAAAACTAACGGCCTAATTTATAACAAAATAATTTATGAAAAACAAATATGACAGACACGAACCAACAACAACCACTGAACTACAGGCTCCTGACTTGGGACAGGCACATAAAGAATGTGGCAGGGTTGAACATGTTTGTGAGCGCTCAACCCTCCCCTAACCTGGGACAGTGGTGTAACAGCACAACATTAGAACAAACTGTAAAAATCAGTTGATCGATAGAAAGCAGAAAAACATCAAACAAAAACACAGACCTGACATGGCAGAGTATATATCCTCCCTCATCCCTAACAACAAAAAAGATACTAAGTACAGATCTGAGAGTACTCGCAGTTACTGACAACTAGTTCAAAGCCAATAACAACTAATAAAAAAAATCACATCTATTATATTGGTATACAGTACTTTGCTATAAATGAGTTTGCAAAATGGCTGACATAAAAATATCAATAAAAAAATTTGCAACTACTACCCTTATTTTATCACTCAAGAAATAAAAATGTACTTACCAGATGGATTTAATACAAGTTATTGTGATATAACCATGAGTTTTTGGCAAACTTGTTTAAAGGCTCCTTATGGTGTGCAAATGGAGGTTGCTCCAAAGGTAAAGAACAACTTGCTATAATTTAGCCACCTTTTGAATTTCATTTTCTCTCCACTCAACTTGAGCTTTGAGTACTTTACACTCTTATCAATGATATTAATGTCTGGGCTCTGTGGAGGCCAAGATGGATTCTTTATGCCATTAGCCTGCTTCCACTGATTGGAATGCAAAGATACGTAACAAGGTGCATTGTCCTTTTGGAAGTGTCAGGCGATAACAGGCCAGTGAACATCGTAGAGCACAGAAATTTTTTATCACTGTTCATATTTCCTTCCACCGGGGTAAGAGTTCCAATTCCATAGATAGAAAGACTTTTGCCAGACATACGCTATATTATTTTTTTCCAAGCATAATTTTGTTCCGTCACTGAATGTTAGCGTTTTCTTTGAAACAATACCCCTCTTCAAACAATCATCTACATACAGGATGATACAGTTCTATAAGACACATTACACCCTGTCCTAGCATTGAATCATACTGTCATATCTTTAAGAGTCCGTCTTCGATTATTTTTACACTCCTGAAAAGGACCCTGTCACTCTGCAAGGTTGTCTAACGTCCTCCCCAACTTTGAGGTAAATTTTCTATGGTCCCCGGCTCTTGAATCCATTTAAGAAATTTCTGGATTGTTCTATTAAGTCTCCCAAACGAAGTTTGGGAAGACTTATTGGTTTTGCTCAGTTCTTCTTATTCTTCTTCTTCTTCTTCTTCTTCTTCTTCTTCTTCCGCCACTTTTAAATTTGAACTCGTCCGCACCCGTTCTCCAAAACCGCTTGTCAGATTAACTTAGGGTTTCACAATATGTTAGACTAACATGTCTAGTGGTGCAATCAGGGTTTTGTTTGTGCAATGGGGTTTATAAAGGGGTACTTTGAGGGGCAAAAAGAAAGGAGGGTTTTACTATAAAACCCTATGGGATTTTATTTTTTAAAATTTTCAAATGATTATAAATTGAAAACCGTTTGTGATAGACACAATCTTTTTAATTGAAAATGTTCTAAATGATAAAGCACATTAAATGAAATACAGGGTTAGTCCCCAGGGGTCACCCCTACCCCTTGCCATTTAAGAAAGTTCTAATAACTTGTAAGTGGTCAAGATCCCCACCCCTAAACCATATATATTCTGGTTTGTCATGCTAAGATGGTTTGAATGATATACAGGGTTAGTCCCCAGGGGTCATCCCGATCCCCTGCCATTTGAGAAAGTTCTAATATCTTGTAAATGGTCGAGTTCCCCACCCATAAACCATATACATTCTGGTTTGTCATGATAAAGCACATCAAATGAAATACAGGGTTAGTCCCCAGGGGTCACCCCCAACCCCTGCCATTTAAGAAAGTTCTAATATCTTGTAAGTGGTCAAGATCCCCACCCCTAAACCATATATATTCTGGTTTGTCATGCGAAGATGGTTTGAATGATATACAGGGTTAGTCCCCAGGGGTCACCCCCACCCCCTGCTATTTAAGAAAGTTCTAATATCTTGTAAATGGTCGAGATCCCCACCCCTTAACCATATATATTCTAGTTTGTCATGATAAAGCACATCAAATGAAATACAGGGTTAGTCCCCAGGGGTCACCCCCACCCCCTGTCATTAAAGAAAGTTCTAATATCTTGTAAATGGTCGTGATCCCCACCCCTAAACCATATATATTCCTGTTCGTCATGTCTCGAACATTTGAATGACGTTTAGGGTTAGTTCCCAGGGGTTCCCCCCACCCCCAATGTTCTAGTATCTTGTAAATGGTCGAGATCCCCACCCCTAAACCATATATATTCTGGTTTGTCATGCCAAGATGATTTGAATGATATACAGGGTTAGTCCTCAGGCATCACTAATGCATATAACTTTACTGCACCAAACCAATTTTCACTGAACTTTGTCCAATGTCAGGCGACCCTGGGAATTACAAATTATTGGAGCTTCGTTTGGGAGACTTCGTAACAGCATCCTGTTACAATCATTTCTTGTTCTGGTTAGGTTTTCAATTTTATGACTTGAAAATTAATTATTTGACATATTTACCATGAATTCTCTTTGCTCCTTGTTCAGTTTCTTACTGTAAGGTGCCATATTGCCTAGTAGATAATTTTTTGTTTACCTGAGGGGAATAACCCAAACTTACATGCACTGTTAAGGGAGGTTGTAATATCAAAATGAAATTAGGAGCGAACTTCAATTCTAAAACGATAGAAGGAAAGTAACAAAAGACAAATTTATTTATAGACTGGTTTCATGGAGGGCCATGACATCGCCATTTTGCAAACTCATTCATGACAAAGTACTGTAATTTGTATATAGTCAACTTTGATATATGGAAGTTGTAGTGACTTGACATAACAGCTCCAGTTATCTGAAGCTATTGTCATCCAAGTGCAAATGTTAAAGATTGCTTTCCTCATTTTACCCTTTATTATCAGCCTGGTATTTTTAATGTTGAAATGTTCTTTAATATTCCAATCCATCTACATTAATAATATTTCAAGATTCTATTTAGGGAAAAGTCCAGCTTAGAAACAGTACATATTGTTATAGAACTGCAATTTTGACATGTTTAATGATTATAATAAAAATGTATAAACCTCATTATATTTCAAAGGCAAATATATGCTACAAATAATTTTTGATACAATATACTGAAATTTGCTATGTTGCTTAAATGTTCGTGCAAGTTTTATTCCATAGCCCGTTTACAGGACGTATTATGGTATACCTCTGTCCGTCTGTTCGTCCTTCGTCAACATGTTGGACATTAACTCAAAAACGCTTTAACCAATTTGCATAAAACTTTGGTGAATTGTTTATATCTATTGACGTGAGCTCCCTTTCGTTTTTTATAAATTTTAGATTTTACGTTTCCGAGTTATGGGGTTTTATTCATTAAAAAAAGGGGGATTTTCCAGTTTTCGGACAATAACTCAAGAATGCTTTCACCAACTTGCAAGAAATTTTGGTTGATTGTTTATATCTATTGACATGAGCTCCCTATTGATTTTTATAAATTTTAGATTTTACTTTTCCAAGTTACGGGGTTTTATTCATAAAAAAAATGGGGATTTTCCAGTTTTCGGACAATAACTCAAAAATGCTTTCAGCAGTTCTCATGAAACTTTGATGAATTGATTATATCTATTGATGTAAGCTCCCTTTAGAATTTAATAAATTTTATTTGTTTATAGTCTGACAACAGATTAACTAAATATTGCGCAACAGCATAGTGTATTGCACAACAGCAAGAAATCTTCAATTGAATATTAATTCAATTCATATAACCAATTTCAAGTTCTTTGACTTCATTTATTCAGAAACCTATAATATGTCAAATATTTAATTACAATCCAAATTCAGACCTGTATCAAGCTTGAATATTGTGTCCATTTTTGCCCCAACTGTTCAGGGTTGGACCTCTGTGGGCGTATCCAGCGCTCAGTGAAGCAGTTTATTATATTTTGTTACGCTGATTCATAATAAGTTTGAAAAACTTGTCAGTTTTGTACCAGTGAAGGGACTGTCATGGAGGGAAAGTTTGACATTAAAATGAAATCTTAATCATGTTAATGGTAACCTCACTTTCTGTTATACTGAATATCACACCAAAAAATCTATTTTTTCCAGGTAGTAAAATTCATGTCACAGATGAAAGCAATGGTAAACAAGGTATGTTTTATGTTATAGATCCACCATGGTCAACAATCATTAAAAACAAGAATCAGATCGGTTTAGAACTGGTGACCTAATGGTAATGTTTAGCATCACATACACTTACATCTGTGGCTGTGATTCCTCATTTCAACCAATAGCTTTATAAGCAAAGACTGGAGTAAGCATCTATATCACTCAAAATTATGGTTAACAACAGTTTTGTAGAAGTCATCCTTTAGCCAGTAACCATGACAAATTGCAAACTTGTTCATATTTAACGAAAAAGTTCATCACATATTATTATCTGGGATTTTTTAAGGAAGAGAATTTGGGTTTGTGTTCCCTTTTTAGTCCCCTACCGATGAAGTCGAAGGGGACTTTAGGTTTGCACTCCGTCTGTCTGTCTGTCTGTCTGTCCATCCGTCAGTTTTCCACTCTTTTTTTCTTCGTGCTTGAAGATATTGATTTGATATTTGGTGTATTGTTTTATCATGACTAGTTACAGATCGAGTTCAAATTTTGTTTCCGGTTTGATGATTTTGTGCAGAGTTATGGTCATTGGACTTAAAAAATTCACTCAAATAATCAGTTTTTTTTCACTTTTTTTCATCATGCTTGAAGATATTGATATGATAATTAGTCCCCTATCGACAAAGTCGAAGGGGACTTTAGGTTTGCACTACGTCTGTCTGTCTGTCTGTCTGTCTGTCCTTCCGTCAGTCCGTCAGTTTTCCACACTTTTTTTCTTAGTGCTTGAAGATATTGATTTAATATTTGGTGTATTGTTTTATCATGACAAGTTACAGATCAAGTACGAATTTTGTTCCGGTCTAATGATTTTGTGCAGAGTTATGGTCCTTGGACTTAGAAAATTCACTTAAATAATCAGTTCCTACATGAACAGTTTTCAACACTTTTTTTTCGTCATGCTTGAAGATATTGATTTGATATTTGTTATATAGTTTACACTATGACAGTTAAAGATCAAGTTAGCATTTGTTCCAATACAATGAATTTTTAACCGGTAGGGGACTATGTATTGCCATGCAATACTCTCAGAATGCTTGTTATTTCTAAAGTTGGAAGATTGGCATAATTTTCAAAGAATGAGGTATACAACTCAATAAGAAAAAAATGAAGCTAAACATGAAAATTATATTAGATACTTCAGTTAAAGTTTTGTATTTGCTAAAATTATTTTTTTTGAAGACATTAAAATCCTTTTAGAAATACATTTTTATTGTGTTTTTTAAGTTCTTTATTATAAAATGCTAAAAGATATATAAGCATATATTAATGTAATTTATTTAATTCAAAATATCTGATAATGAAATTTGTGTTTGGAAATCATTATGCCTTCTAGTGTCAATCAAAAGGATATAACCATGATAAAATTTTCTATATAATATCTAATCAAATAGTTCTTTGTTTTCACTAGATTCTGGAAGTAGTAGTGGTGTGGTAGCCGCAGTAATTATAATCATACTGGTCCTGGTTGGAGCTGCAGTCGCTGGTGTTCTATATTACAGGTAACAATGATAAGACAATACCATAAAATACTAAAGAAAAAAAGCATTGATCCCTTGGTGTTGGTGTTAAAAAATTTATTGATAGAGGACTTTTCAAAGAAACAGTATTTTGGCATTATAGGTAACCATGTCTTTTGTCCATGTCTAAATGCTATGAAAATTGAATATGTTGATTGTTATTCTTTCAGTATAGGCAGTTAAAGCAATTTCAGTGATAATTGACTAAAACAATTGTCAGGCTTGAGGGTTGATACAATGTGTGAAATCGAAAAAACCATATCATAAACACTTTATTATATACCTAAAATAAATGTTTCTCATGCGACATGACATTATGCAGATTAGGGTTTTGATAAAGTCTTTCCAACCATGACTGATATTACATTAATAAAGTTGTTTATTTTTTCTCTGGTTTACTTTCAGGAGAAGGAACCGTCACAGATTTTCTGAAGCTGTTACTTTTGAGAATCCACAATATGGTACAGCTCATGACTCACAAATAAAGGTCATTACTTTAAGCATAATACTTTATCATGCTACTCTGTTAAATATTCATTCATAGAATTATGAGTGGAGAAATAATCAAATATAATTTTATCGGATATAAAATATGATATGATACAGCTACCCACCAAAGACCACAAGACAATAAATATAAATGTGTAAAGGTCACAAGTAGCACAATCTCATACTGTACACTTTATTTTAAAGATCTCAACAAATTATGAAGCATTGAATGGGAGGTTATTAGTCATTTTCAATGATGTTATTTATATATTTTATCAAAAACAACATAGTTGAAATTCCTATAGTTAGGGACGACATCAAAAGATCGATGTCGGATAAAAAACTTAATTCAAATAGTTTGGGGGTAGGGGGTAAAAACCGCTGCAAGTTTTGTTATCCGACATCAATTTTCGGATTGAAAAATATGGATTCAAGTTCGGCCCTTACATATGTTTGGACTTTTAAACCAAATGAAATCCATCAAATCGTGTCGGAAAGCAAATTTTTGGCAGAAAGTATTGGGGCGAAATTAATCATAGTATCTATGTCGTTCAAACGCTTTATCGATCGTGAATTTTGGATGATATGAAACCATATACAGAATAACACAGATTGTTTAGGTCCACACGGCATGGTGGCATTCAAAAATAAACTATAAAATTTCCTTTGAAATTGTGTTAATTATTTAATTATTAAAATGAAAACTGAAATATAAATTCAAATAAAAATTTGAAAGTTTTATAGAATTTTGTGAGATAGTAGAAAAATATGACAGTGGTCAACAGACATTGAATAGAAATTACATAGATCATATCACATTCACTATATTTATTTGGGATTGTGCTTTTCCCTCTCTCCACAGTTGGCACAAATACACTGCCCTGTCATCACCATACATTTCAATGGATCACTATTTAGTTTAAAGCTATATACGTTATATGAAACAATGGACTGTTTTATATTCATTTGAGAAAAGAAACAAAAACAATCAAAACCATAAACCCACTATTTACCAATGCCAATAGTGGGCAGATGAAAAATGCAGAATCCATGCTGACTGTAGTGTTTATAAAATTATAATTTAACAGTGCCCTTTTTGATGCATAATAAAAATACACATAACGTTTATCGAATATTTTTTAAAAGTGATGTCCAAATCAATATACAGAACAAACATACATTGTTGAGGAAAAACAGGACCCATGATACAAAAAGTATAGTCTGAGAGCATATGCCCATATTGGTCAATCAATTTTTCCCAAATTAAGTTAGGGGGGGGGGGGGGGGGTCAGTGAAAAAACTATGTGAATTAGATTTTTTATCCTACATTGAACTTATGATGTCGTCCCTTAAGGCAGATATATTTTTTTTTTTTTTTTATATGTTTATAGTGCTAAGATTGGATTGTATAATGATGTTGGATTTTTTTGTGAAATATTTTTTCCGACCAATATGTGAAACAAACATATTACTGATAATGTGATGACAATTTTTATGTACAATTTCCAACCTTTTAATTCTAGCAAACATTTCCATGCCAAGAATGTGTAAATTAATACAATGTGTGTATTATTCGCTGACAATACCTCATCATGCTCATGAAGGTGTGGTTAAATTCATAAAATCTATTCTTTTGGTCTTCAACCAAGTGTATTTTAGCCTCTAAGGTTCATTGTTCTAGGTGTGAATAACATCTCCGATGGATTATCAGATAGAAGTGTGAGTTTATTAAGTCTCCCAAACGAAGTTTGGGAAGACTTATTGTTTTTGCTCAGTTCTTATTATGTCACCCGATCGACAATGTTGGGTGACATATTGCTTTTCCTCTGTTTCTTTTTCCCTATAATTATGTCACCCGATCGACAATGTCGGGTGACATATTGCTTTTCCTCCGTTTCTTTTTTTTATTATTATTATTATTATTATTATTCTTCCACCTAATTTTGTCCTGCAGTTTTCTCAGAGCCTAATGCACCAATCTTAATGGTTGTTCAAGTATAACAAGGAACCCTGACTTGCGAGTTGCAGTGAAACTTTGGCACTAAAAAATGGATGCCATCACCATGGAAACCAAAGAAAGGTGAAAAAATAAAATTTTAGAGTTTGGTGGATTATTTGGATATGCATTAACTTAGAATCATGATATTTTAATACAATGTAGGTGCCAACTATATACTAGTTTTGGATGATTTTGGCAATCACAGGAACTACTATGTTGCCATGGAAACTACACCAAAAATTACAAAAATATCAAAATGCTCAAAATTTAATGAAACTTCACAGTAATGATGAGCAACATTGGTAGATGTGGAATTTGGTGTTGGAATTTCAAAAATGTGTGCAGTTACCATGGAAACAATGCAAAACAGGTCAAAATGATCCAAAAACCTAAAAGTGGCATTTACTTTCCAGTTTGAAAGTTTCTTAAAATGGTTTGTCAAATCCATTGAAATTTTAATGGTATGTTCCCTCCCATGTACCAATGTAGAACCTGTCATCATATTTTGGGAATGGTCTCTGTTACCATGGAAACCAGCAAAAATGTCAAAAACTTCCAAAAATTACAAAATGCTCCAAACTTTATGAAACTTAATATGATTCTTAACTGGCAAGTCTAGATGAGACTTTTGACTTTGGAATTTCCGAAATGGCCACCGTTGCCATGGAAACTGCAAAAAATGACAAAAAATTTTAAATGATCAAAAATGCTCTAAATGTTCTGAAAATTTACAGAAACATGTATAGCCATTCATATATTAGCATCCCGGTTTAAAATTTTTGAAATGGCTGCCACTTAGTGGCAATGGGGGGAAGGGTGACATCCGCTATTGCTTGCAATAGCAAATCTAGTTATTATTATTTTTCTTCCACCTAATTTTGTCCGCCCGTTTTCTCAAAGCCAAAGGAACCAATCTAAATGATGGGGCACTATAACAAGGAACCCTGACTTTCGAGTTGCAGTGCAACTTTGGAACTAAAAAATGGCTGCCGTTACCATGGAAACAGAAAAAATGTGAAAAAAAAATAAAAATTGCAAATCCATTAAATCTTTCATTATGGGACCCAACTAGATGAAACTTTAGTGGAATGTAGCCTGGCATGCCAAGATGTGTTGACCATATTTAGAAATTCCAAAATGGCTGCCATTACCATGGAAACTGGAGAAACATTTACCATTAGCCCCTATGGGAAATTCTTAAAAGTAGCATTTACATGTACTCACTTATAATGGTAGGTCAAATTCCATGATTCTTTCATGGTATATTCCTGGTCATCTGCCAAAGTGGCATCTGTCTTTAAAATTTTAGAATCGGTCACTGTTACCATGGAAACAGCATAAATACAAAAATGTCCAAAAATTTCAAAATCCTCCAAACTTTATGAAATTATACAGAAATGTTAACTGGCATGTGCAGAGTTGCTATTTGACTTTGGAATTTTGGAAATGGCTGCCGTTACCATGGAAACACCAAAAATGTCAAAAATTTCAAAATGCTCCAAACTTTATGAAACTTAATATTAACGTTACCTGGAAAGTGTAGATGAGACTTTTGACTTTGGAATTTCTAAAATATTGCCATGGAAACGACAGAAATGTGAAAAATTCCAAATTGCTCTAAATGTACTGAAAATTTACAGACAGATGTATAGCAATGTATATATGTGCGTTCACTGTTCAAAATTTTCGAAATGGCTGCCGCTTAGTGTCCATGGGGGAAGGGTGACATCCGCTATTGCTTGTAATATTGCTTGCAATGGCAAATCTAGTTATTCTTCTTCTTCTTCTTCTTCTTCTTCTTCTTCTTCTTCTTCTGCCGCTTTTAAATTTGAACTTGTCCGCACCCGTTCTCCAAAACCGCTTGTCAGATTAACTTAGGGTTTCACAATATGTTAGACTAACATGTCTAGTGGTGCAATCAGGGTTTTGTTTGTGCAATGGGGTTTATAAAGAGGTACTTTGAGGGGCAAAAAGAAAACAGGGTTTTACTATAGAACCCTATGGGATTTTATTTTTTTAAATTTTCAAATGATTATAAATTGAAAACCGTTTGTGATAGACACAATCTTTTTAATTGAAAATGTTCTAAATGATAAAGCCCATTAAATGAAATACAGGGTTAGTCCCCAGGGGTCACCCCACCCCCTGCCATTTAAGAAAGTTCTAATACCTTGTAAGTGGTCAAGATCCCCACCCCTAAACCATATATATTTTGGTTTGTCATGCTAAGATGGTTTGAATGATATACAGGGTTAGTCCCCATGGGTCATCCCGACCCCCTGCCATTTGAGAAAGTTCTAATATTTTGTAAATGGTCGAGATCCCCACCCCTAAACCATATATATTCTGGTTTGAAATGTAATACAGGGTTAGTCCCCAGGGGTCACCCCCACCCCCTGCCATTTAAGAAAGTTCTAATATTTTGTAAATGGTCGAGATCCCCACCCGTAAACCATATATATTCTGGTTTGTCATGATAAAGCACATCAAATGATATACAGGGTTAGTCCCCAGGGGTCACCCCCACCCCCTGCCATTTAAGAAAGTTCTAATATCTTCTAAGTGGTAAAGATGCCCACCCCTAAACCATATATATTCTAGTTTGTCATGCGAAGATGGTTTGAATGATATACAGGGTTAGTCCCCAGGGGTCATCCCGACCCCCTGCCATTTGAGAAAGTTCTAATATCTTGTAAATGGTTGAGATCCCCACCCCTAGACCATATATATTCCTATTTGTCATGTCTTGAACATTTGAATGACGTATACGGTCAGTCCCCAGGGGTTCCCCCCACCCCCAATGTTCTAATATCTTGTAAATGGTTGAGATCCCCACCCCTAAACCATATATATTCCTGTTCGTCATGTAATGAACATTTGAATGACGTATAGGGCCAGTCCCCAGGGGTTCCTCCCCACCCCCAATGTTCTAGTATCTTGTAAATAGTCGAGATCCCCACCCCTAAACCATATATATTCTGGTTCGTCATGCCAAGATG